TTGTGAGGTGCCATTTGGAGGACATGCCCACTTGGCACAAGATTGTTGGGCTGAAGCCGGCAAGTGTGATCAGGGCTGGGAGCAGGTAGCACCAGGTAGACAATGTGTCTGCTGCGAGGGACAGGTGACATCGAGGAAGCAGGAGAGGCCTGGACGGTGAATGCCTCACCTTTGAGGAAGCACTACATTTCCAGCTGAGCAGCAAGACAGGGGCCAGTGTAAGAGAGGTATGTGTCCTCAGGGAGAGGAGGAGAGATTTTCAAGACCAACAGATGAGCAGTAGCCTTAGAAGCACGAAGATTAAAGTGACAAATGACAGTATAACTTGTTTATTGACTGATGTGTTGAACCCCAGAATTTGATGTATCCTTGATTAGAATATGTAGAGTTGGCTGATGTGGGGCCACTAGGCCATGAGAATATCTCATGGATATTTCGATCACTGAGTGTGAGATTCGTGTGGTTTTGGATGTTTGGATCGAGCTTCCTCCAGGTTAGAACTTTTGCCCCTTCGTGCTTGAATCCCTCCTCCACGGACTATTATCAGTAGGGATTCAGAGTCTGGAGAAGTATGAAAGGGTTTCCTTTCCATTCCTGCATCTGGAATCACCATCTGTGATGAGGTTCTTTATTTAAGGAAAAGACTGGAAGGGACCTTCGGTTTATTGTATGAGAAATGGACACGTTAGGTGTCATCCACACTCTAGCATGTCTTTGAGCGAAGTAGTTGAGGTTAGGGGTCAAGTTCATGGCTGTTCCTCCAGCAAAGTAATCCTAGAAGACAGTTTGAGCCTTGGAGTACTTGGCAATGGTTTGATGGAGAGCAAGGTGACTACCCCAGAAAGGTGAGCATCTGAATCTGCTCTTTGGAGTTTTCCAGTGCTCCCCACACCCCGCCAAGTCGTGTCCCGGGGATCTTTTGCCACCAATCTGAGGCTCAGCTTTTCCAGCTGAAGGAAAGGAACATAATTTCCTTCCTCCAGGGTTTGTAGTAGTGAAAAAAGTTAAGGGAGTCAGAGGTTAAGGGTGGTGGGGCTGGAGCGAAAGCTTGAAGAACATCTTTTGATTACATTCCCAGTAGCAGTGTAGGAGGGTTCCCCTTTCTCCGCATCCTCACCAGCATGACAAATTTACTTTTTAGAAAGTTCATTTTGACAGCCACATAGAGGATGGTTTGAAAATTGGAAGCAGGACGTTTACTCCTCCCGTCCTCCCATCCACCTGGCCACCGTCACCCTTCTCTGCCTATTCACCCAGCAGAAAAACATTAGTGAAACATTTGATTCTGAGAAAGAGCTGTATAATCAGATAGGGCTCTGTTTCAAATCCGGTCCTGCCACTTACCCTTGTGTGTGACTTTGGGTGAATGACTTCATCTGCCAAATAAGTAAATTTTATCATTGAAAAATAAGGACTGATAATATCTGCTAATGCATCATAGGTTGGTTGGAGGAGTGAGATAATGCCTAATAATCGCTTGGCACTGTGGCAGGAACTCATAAACGTTTGTACAGTTGTAACTGTTTCTGTTGGTGTGAACGGCTCGGAGGCACACATTTGGGAGCTGTTGTGATCCTGGGGATTGTTGCAGCAGTGCGCCTGGAGACGTTCACGGGATTGGGACTGAGTTCAGCAGGCCGCACTGAGCGCCTGCTTCACGCAGAGCAGCCCATCGCGCGGTGGGAGGGGCCGAGGTGTGCACTTCTGGGAGTTCGTGGGTCTTAACCTTAAACCAGGCGAAGTGTTGGAGAAGGTGTGCTCTGAGATGGGTCTTGAGGGATGAAGATGTTCAGTAGGTAGACATGGAGGGAAAAGGCTCTTCATGTGCGAGCATTGAGAGGTGTGGCCGTCCAGAGGCAGGAGAATGAGAATGTGGACTAATGAAACGTGGGGGAGATATAGTCCCTACCATATAGGGATGCCAAGAGACTATAAGGAGAGAGAAAGGTTTGAAATCTCAATGTGCCAAATTAAGTTCAGTAGAGAACTTTGAATTCCGTTCTGAGGATTTTGGACTTCAATACGAATGCTAGGAAGGAGTAGAAAGATAAGATTGGGCTTGTATTTAGGAGGATCTCAGGACAAAGGTGCACATGAGGGTGGAAGAGGAAAAGGAGATGGAGGAGACCACTTGGAAGCTCTTGGAAGAGCAGGCAAGACGCACAGGACCTGAACCAGGGCTCTGAGGAGGGGAAAGGAAGGAGGGGTTAAGGCGCTCTGCGGACACAGGATTGATAGGATCCAGTGGCTCACTGGTTTGGGGTGAGAGACTAGGAAATGACAGTGCCACTGGGAATGGGCAGTAGTGGGAGAGGAAAGGTGGCAAGCTCAGATTTGAATCTGAGTTGTGAGGTGCCATTTGGAGGACATGCCCACTTGGCACAAGATTGTTGGGCTGAAGCCGGCAAGTGTGATCAGGGCTGGGAGCAGGTAGCACCAGGTAGACAATGTGTCTGCTGCGAGGGACAGGTGACATCGAGGAAGCAGGAGAGGCCTGGACGGTGAATGCCTCACCTTTGAGGAAGCACTACATTTCCAGCTGAGCAGCAAGACAGGGGCCAGTGTAAGAGAGGTATGTGTCCTCAGGGAGAGGAGGAGAGATTTTCAAGACCAACAGATGAGCAGTAGCCTTAGAAGCACGAAGATTAAAGTGACAAATGACAGTATAACTTGTTTATTGACTGATGTGTTGAACCCCAGAATTTGATGTATCCTTGATTAGAATATGTAGAGTTGGCTGATGTGGGGCCACTAGGCCATGAGAATATCTCATGGATATTTCGATCACTGAGTGTGAGATTCGTGTGGTTTTGGATGTTTGGATCGAGCTTCCTCCAGGTTAGAACTTTTGCCCCTTCGTGCTTGAATCCCTCCTCCACGGACTATTATCAGTAGGGATTCAGAGTCTGGAGAAGTATAAAAGGGTTTCCTTTCCATTCCTGCATCTGGAATCACCATCTGTGATGAGGTCCTTTATTTAAGGAAAAGAGTGGAAGGGACCTTCGGTTTATTGTATGAGAAATGGACACGTTAGGTGTCATCCACACTCTAGCATGTCTTTGAGCGAAGTAGTTGAGGTTAGGGGTCAAGTTCATGGCTGTTCCTCCAGCAAAGTAATCCTAGAAGACAGTTTGAGCCTTGGAGTACTTGGCAATGGTTTGATGGAGAGCAAGGTGACTACCCCAGAAAGGTGAGCATCTGAATCTGCTCTTTGGAGTTTTCCAGTGTTCCCCACACCCTGCCAAGTCGTGTCCCGGGGATCTATTGCCACCAATCTGAGGCTCAGCTTTTCCAGCTGAAGGAAAGGAACATAATTTCCTTCCTCCAGGGTTTGTAGTAGTGAAAAAAGTTAAGGGAGTCAGAGGTTAAGGGTGGTGGGGCTGGAGCGAAAGCTTGAAGAACATCTTTTGCCAAACTCCCAGTTTTTGTTAGCATTTTAAGTGAGTCTAAATGTAAGTTCTGTCCCAGGATGAAGCAGAACGTCGGGCTCTCACATGTGTCCATCCATCACCTGGTCTCATTTGTCTTTCTTTTCTCTGGTCTCTTTTTTTCCTTCTGAAAATGTGAACACTACCCTTGCTGCCTGCCACCCCCACACTTGCCAGTGTGGGCTTTTGGGCTTCCTTCCCTTTCTCTCTGCTGAGGATCTCTCTGCAGGTGGAAGGTTCTGCTGAAAGGAACATGGTTTTCATTGCAAATGGGCCCAGGTCACAGCTGGACTTTGATGCAAATGACAGTGTTCCCTGCGCTCCACTCCACTCCCTTAGGGAAGGTCGGGATGCAGTGACCCTGACAGCCTCAATCTGGGCTGTTCCAGAGCCTGACCTGCTCTCTCTGACTGCTTGAGTAGGTGAAAGGGACCCTCAGCCCTTCAACTCCCCCTGCCCTTGGGTTTCTTTGGCTTTCCAGTCCTGTACCTGCTTCCTTTCCCATTTCTCCTGTCTCTTTCTTACTTAACCTTTTCCTTTTCTGTCTCCTTCTTCCCTCCACTCTCTCAGAGCAAAGCAAATACCTGTTAAAACTTAACTGCACTTAATTTTCCTCTCCTCCTTGATCATCTCTTCTCCTTGTATTCAGCTGAGAGCACAAGCCAAACATCCCATGGTAAATATTTATACAGCTTAGAAGCCTTGCTCCGAGTGGATTTGGTACTGTGGGGCACAGAAGCTACCCGGTGGAAGTGGCTTTTGGAGGAGGGAGCGTAAGGGCTGTGAGAATTCCCATAGTGCTCACCTCTACCCGGGGCAGGGGTAGCAGGAACCAGTATGGCTAACAAGGAAATTGTATGGTGTGGGTGAGCTACAAGTCAGAAGATCCAAATTTTGTTTCTTAATCCTCTGTGATCAGAGGATGCTTAGGTTCTCTGTGACGTCCTCCATCTGGGCTGTTCCCAGAGCCTGGCCCTGCTCTTGGTCAGGCATTGGTCTTCATTTTAAAAATAGGGATTATAGCACTTGTCATTGCTACCTCGAAGGCATGTTTTAAGAATCCGATGACATAATATGTATGTGGATGCTTTGAAAAGTAGGATTCTTGTTATTTCTTTTGTAGATCTACAAAGCAGAACACAGAGACTGGATTCGCAGCATGTATAAAATGGGCTGATAGTATGGGATGGTCCCTAATGAGCCTTTCAGCTACTAAGTTCTGCTATTCCTAGCCACTTCTTAGCATATACCAGGGGCCCTAACAGTATTTGGATGGATGGACAGACAGATGGTCAGATGGATGGATCTTTATCTACATGTCTAATTGCCCTACTTACCCCTTCTCATTCCCATTTCCAATTCACGTTGGCACCACCGCCCTCTCCTGGCCATCGGTGGTATTACGGTGCAGTGGGCTGGCCCTTTTGTCCCTGTTTCTCCGAGCCCCTAACCCTGGCCCCCTGAGCTGGCTGGCTCCTCGGAACCCGTCCTTGGCCTTCAGTCACCAACTGCCTGTTTTTCCTCCCCCTCCCTCCTTCCCATCCCACTCCCTCTCTCCATCTGCCCCTGCAGCACTGCCAGTAACTCAAACCGCAGCACGCCGGCCTGCTCCCCCATCCTCCGGAAGCGGTCTCGCTCGCCAACCCCGCAGAACGCGGACGGTGACACCATGGTAGAGAAGGGCTCAGATCACTCCTCGGACAAGTCTCCGTCTACCCCAGAGCAGGGGGTGCAGCGCAGCTGCTCCTCACAGTCCGGCCGGAGCGGTGGCAAAAATTCCAAGGTGAGCTGGGCCTCGCGGGGGACTGTTCTTCCTTGTTAGCAGGATGCAGGGAAGCGGGTACCGGGGGCGGTAGAAAATCCCTTCCTTAAGGAACCTTGACTGGCCCTGGTCTGGAGACAGCCTTTACGCAGTAAGGCAAGTGGGGCAGGCAGGGGGGACCTCAGGTATACTGTATCTTCTCAGCTAAGCACTCGGGGCCAGGTCCTGGGAAAATGATTCCATGTGACTGTTCCCTCTCTTTAGGACCTAGAGCGCATCCTGTCCCTTGCGCTTCGGAGGAGGGTGGCTCTGTGGATCAAGAGGGCTCATCTGTTTGGCCCTGCTACCTTTTTCAAATTTGGGGTAGAAGGAGACATTACCTGGGGCGATTCTAGTGCCAGCGCTGTTTTAACCTCTGCCCTGGCCATCACCTGCCTCACCTTTGGTAACCCACTTGGCACTCATCTGGCCAAGAGGCTGGTGACAGGGCCCTTCCGCCTCTCCCAAGTGTGTCAGTGCTGCCAGGGCCTTTGCCTAAGAATAGGCATAAAAGTAGCCCCACAGGGGCCTGGGCTCCTTGAGGCTCTAGAGATTTTCATCTCCTCAACTCAATCCTGTGGGGAGCAGGAGATGTCCTCTCCTAGATGCTCCTTCGAAAAGCTTTTTCCTGCTGGACTCATAGGCCCGGGAGGAGGGGGGACCCCTGGGAGGCTCGGGAGCTGGCTTCCCACCTGAATTTGTCTTTTGATTTCTTGTTCTTCCTCTTCTTCTCCACCGTTTCTCAAATACCTTCTTTGCATGCATGGTCTTAGTCTCACAAGCGCCTCTCAAAAGTAAGCCATCCTTTGTCTCTGTCTTCGGTCTGCCCTCCGGTGTTGAATTGTTTGTAGAGCTCCGCACCCCTCCCTCTGCCCCGCCCATTCTGGCCCCTGTCTTGCTTGGTCCCTTTCCCAGAAGGGCCGGCCCCACTGCCCCCCTGGCAGGCTGGCTTGATATCAGCGAGGGACCGTTCCCACTGCACCCAAAGTCAGAGAACAGACGCACCCTCCACCCCACCCCCCAACGTCTCTGCCTGCTCCCCAAACACTGCCTTGGGCTGGGAACCTGTCTGCTCCTTCCTTGGTGCCATCTAGAGGCAGATGCCTGCCAGGGCTTAGTGTCATTCCTTTGGGGAAGGGAGGCCCCATCCAGTTGAGCTTCAGGTGCGATACCCGCTTATACCTGCTTTGGTGGGTGACTCCTGATTCCCCGGAGGAGTAGATAGAGGGTCACAGATTCCCCTAAGTGAGTTCTCTGGTGCAGCAGAGAGACCTCAGGAGCTCTGCCTGGCACCCCTCTTTCCTCTGCCTGCCCGCTGGGGGCTGCTCAGCCTGACTGCACCCACTGCCCGGCCCAGGAGCTCGCAGTGTTCCTAGGATCCTGAATGGTGGTCAGAGGGGAGCTCTTCTCCAAGAAGGGCATGCTGCTAGCACCCAGAGGTTGATGGATGTCTGCAGCAGCCCCCACCAGGCCCTAAAGACATGTGATCAAGTCAGGGAGGCTGTGTCAGTCTTCCTGGGACACCAGGGTCTCAAAGGCCTGAGGAGAACTTGGAGGGAGGGGCGGGTGAGCAAAGGGTGTTTGAGAATTGCAGGTCTCAGGAAATAATACCCACAGGGAAGGTGGTGGGACGGTTAATAGGCTGAGGGTTGGTTAATGACAATCTGTAGCCCCTGTGAAAGGGATTTGGCGAGGAGGGGAAACAGCTGTTCTCCTCCCTGAGGGAAGAACAAAGGCTACAGGTCTAATCCCACAGCCTGTGACCTTCGAGCTAAGAGTATATCTAGGCTCTGAGGGTTTGAAATGACTGTTGCTGGCTGTGGGTAGGGGCGGAGGGACTCTGCCTGCAGGGGGGATGCCAGCAGGAGTTCCTGGGGTTTCAGGAGGCTCCGCGGGTGGCGGGCATGTCTGGTGACAGGGTTTTGAGATGACCACTGTCAGCCCCTCCTGAGACCCTCCACCTCTGGATGGAGAGAGGGCAGATGTCGCCGGCCACAGGCATCACGTTATTCCATCTTTGATTCTGCCCAGCCTTTGCACACCTGTCCATCCTAAGCCAAAGCTCGAAGCTTCCTTAGCCTCTTACCCCCATGCCTAGCAAGATAGGCCATGAGCAGAGCTGGATTTATTTGTAGCCATTAGTCACTACTTATAGAGTGTCTCTTTTAGTCAGGGGACAGACTGAGGTGAGTACCCAGTAATGAGGACTTCTAAAAATCTCCTAACTGGTAGGTCTTCTTTGGGAAACAAGTGCAAAGACCAGGTTCCCATCCCTAGGCAGTGTAGTCTGGGAAGGGGGATAAGAAACATGCCCAGATTATCCACAAACCAAATATGTCTTTTAGAACCTCACGGGTGTTTGGGGATGTTACAGGACTTCAGAGCAGGAGAATATTTATGAGCGGGAAAGCGGGGGGCACGTTTCTGGGAACAGGCACAGAGCCAAAACCCTGAGTGAGATTTTGGAGATGCAAAAATGAGGCATTATGCAAGGACCACGAGCCGAGAGTGAACTGGGAGTTCATCTTGGCGCCCTGGGAGCTGATAAGGGAGGTGACTGACGGAGTCTAGGTTTTCTTTCCTGTGGAAGCTCGGGTGAGACTGTCCCCATCACACATGCCCTCTGAGTTCCCTGGCTTAGATAGCCTGCCCCCACCCCCATCTCTCACCAGTTGTGACCATGGCCACCGACCCACCTCCCTCCAAATGCAGTTAAAATAGGACAGCCTTGCTGGGAGCGGGACACCCTACCCTGCTGGCGGAAGTGATGGTAGCAGTGGTTAGTCTGGGAGATGCGTGTGTGGGAAGCACAGACTTCAGAAAAGAAACATGAGAACCCACACAGGACCTGGGTTCTACACAGGTGAGGGCCTGGAGCAGAAGGTGCTGGAGAGCTTCAGGGGTGAGGCGAGGAAAGGAGGAGGCGTGCTCCCGTGGTGGGGATGCCCCACCTGGTGGGATGTGGTCTTGATGCTGGGGTTCTTGTTTGCGGCGTCAAAGAATGAATTTAGCAAACACCCAAGGTAGGAGAGCCAGGGAGAGGCTTTTATTTAGAGATACGGTGAGAGCATAGAGCTCCTGGCTCATGTCAGGAGTGGGGGAGCCCGGGGTAGTGCATTGTCTAGGGGATTTATCGGCAGTTGAGACTTTTGGGGAATGGAGTGCTTAGGGTGTGGACTTGTACCACCTGCCCTCGAGGTGGGCCAGGTTGTTGTCTGTTTGCTAGGGCTGTTTACAGTGAAGTCACGGATTATGCTTAGATACTCTTGCAGAACACTCGAACATTCCAGGCCTTTTGACCTTTAACTGATCTCTCTGAAGATGTCCATATTCCTAGTCTGGTATCTTTACCCTAGAGAATCAGTGTGACCTTGACTTTGCATAATGCTGAACACAGAGTTTCAATAGGAACTTTACATTGTTACGTTGCTCTGACTGTAAATATCCTGCCTTGTTTTTTTCCTGAGACGCTCACCGTACTCTGACTATACCCACGGTCCCTGTCTCAGGCTTAGGTGGACCAGATGTACCCGTGACAGGGGCTCTGGTAGCCAGAGCCATGGTCATGCGTACCCCAGCCAGTGCACCTCACTCCTGGTCTCGCAGCCACCTTGTGAAGGAGGCGGCCTCGTATTTTTGAGGCAAGCTGGAGGGTGCCTCCAGTCTTCAGTAAGGAGATTTTTAAAAGTCCTCGCACGTGTCTGTCCTGCCTGCTCAGGGCCTCTGCTTCCTCGTGTGTTCATCTGTAGGATCAAGAGGGTCTCTGATCCTCTCCGGTGAGTCTGTAAAACTGTACTGCTGAGGCTGACCCTTGCTAGATGCAGCCCCCCGGGAGCGGTGGGCTAGAAGCTGCCCAGGCTCAGGATCCCTGCAGTGTGCGCCCCTGCCCGGCGTCCGCCCTGCAGTGCTGGCTGGGAGCACTAGAGGGAGCCCTCAGCCCTTTGCTGCTCTGACCCGCTCTGGTCCGCGGTCCCTGCGGGCTGTGCGCAGGAGCCCAGGCGGGTCCTCCCTGCTTTGGGTGGGCTGCGTCGCCGGGCTCTGTGGCTCTGGTGCTCCTTTCCCCCTTGGTCGTTTCCACTGTGTTTCGATCCTAATTTTTGTGGTTTTCTTTCCAGTATGACAGACTTAACCTGATCAAAGTAAGAAGTTTTTTCCCCCTAACTCCTATATATAGAGCTCCTCTGGTCCCCTCTGTGTCCCCACCCCCCGCCTTCCAGACTCCCAGAGCCTTTGCACTAGAGAGATGTTTTTAGCTACTTGGGTTTGTTTCCAGGGTCCCAGCATTCCTTTAGGCACTTGCTCTTCAGACCTCTTCCAGGAGGCAATAGAAATGTGCCCTGCTCAGCTCCCCACCCCCAACGACTCTGTCCTTGGGTACTTTTCCTGACTCCATCCTCCCCTTTTAGCCAAATCCATTTGCAACCTGTCAGAAAAGCCCTCACCCCACTCCCTAGTTCTGTTTTTTCCCTGCCTCTGGCCCTCTCTGCCAAGGAGGGGCGTTTCTGCGAGCCTAGGGGGCGGGCAGCCTCACCCCCAGCCCCTCTGACTTCCGTGGGAGAATGGAAGCCGTTCTCGGGGGCCACCATGGGTCTGGCTGGAGGGTGGGGGCCCACGCGTCCCCGTGGTGGCAGACCAGGAGCTGCCTAGAGATGGCTGGTTGGGGTCGAGTCTCCCGCTGAGAGGCAAGTCAGACTCCTTGCTCTTGATACCCTATTTCACATCTCAGTACTTGAGGACACATTCTTATCTCCCCTTCATGAAAGAGCAAATACTGCACACAAAAGAGTCACACAGCTGGTTAGAGATGGGGCAGTTTCCCCAGTTGAGGCTCTTTGTCATTGTGAAGCTCTCTGTTCCAGACAGATGCAGAAGGGACACGAATCTGTGTGTCAATAATGAAAAGAGAAAAGCCACTTCTGTTTTGCATGAGTGTGGCCTAGGGGCAGTCAGGAAGAGTCTTGGGTTGTCATTCCCCACCACCACCACCTCTGCAGTCCAACTTCTCATTGCCCCTTTCCCTCTAGGGTCTTCCATAAAAGCCAGGACAGTGGCCATGGGGTGACGAGCTAGAGGGTGGGTGACAGAATTTTCTCAGCTGTGAAGCAGGTGTTTGAAGACCTGGCTTTGGCTTCATGAAATGCAGGCCGATGATGGGGCAGCCGAGGCAGGCAGCTGCTGGACTGTGCCTTCCCACTTTTGCGAAAGGTATTTTAACGAATGAAGATGTCTCAAGGTGCAGACAGAGTCACATGCGGCCTCTTTGCCCCGTGCACTGCCCCCCAGGTGCGGGTAGCCTTAACTGCAATGCTTGCAGGTTAATTTTCAGTTTCAGGCCCAGGATTCACAGGTGGGAATAGCTCCCTCAACAACTGAAATACTTGCCTTTGAACATTTGGATTTTCTTCTGAGACCTGGATTGGAGGGGCAGATGAGGCTCTGATGGGAGCATGTGACTTCCGGGTGGGCCACGGTGACAGCCATTGCTGGGAAATGTCCAGATGCAGAGGCGGGTCCAGAGCCTGCCCTGCCATCTGCCCCCTCGGCCATATTCTGGCCAGGGAGAGCCGGTGGGGGGATGAAATCAAACCACTGAGAGGCAGCACCACCCACACCTGCCCCTTCTGCAAGAAGTGTTCCCTCCAGGGTGAAGGCTGTAGGTCTCCTGAGTTCCGGTGGAATGAGAGAGCTGGCCCCGGGGTTGGGGAGGGGATCACATCACCTTGCTGTCACCGCCCACCCCTGCCAGCCTTCCACCCTGCCGGACACCCTCTCAACAGATATTCTGAGACAGAGGCCACCTCTTTCCTAAGTCAGGCCCCTTAAGACCAGGTGGAGGGGATAAAGGTTGCTAACTGTGCCTGGACTCGCACCCTTGCACAGTTAAGATGCTGACCTGCAGGCGAAAGTTTCTCTCTACCCAGGGATCTTCTGCCTGAGTGCCAAGCTTCTTAAAATGAAAATACCCAGCCCCAATCAACACCTATTGGATCAGAGCCTCAAGAGATGGGGCCTAGACACGTGTGTGTGTGTGTGTGTGTGTGTGTGTATTCCAGTCAGCCTGCCTTCCAGTTGGGGTGTGCATAAATGTTTCCTGGCCATAGAGATGGGAGGTAGACAAGGCACAGTCTTAGCCACCCCATCTCTATCCCTGAAACACTTTCAGTTATCTGAAGATGTGTCCCTTCTGCCCAGGGCTGGGACTGGAGAGCATCTGAGTTCTGGGGCAGGGACGGAGTCCAGTTTTGTTGGCCTTGAGTTATGGCACCGCAGGTGGGGAAGAATGTTAGCAGTCCTGTGCTTGAACCTTTCTCCCAGTGCAGAGCCCTCCCAACTCCCCTGCTGGTGGCTTAGGTGATCAGCCTGTTCTGAGCAGAGGGAGGAATTTTCTCATCTGCCCACCGAGAGCACAGTTGGAGGAAGTTCCTAGACAGTCCCTTCTCTTCCCTTTTACCAAAGGGCCTGCCCTGCCTTCTACGAGGGGCCGACTCAGAGCAGAAGGCTGGGTTGATCCCATCCACACTTGGCTTCTGGGCAGGGCCCGCTGGGGACTGGGTCCTGGATGCCTGCAGTGCATCCCTTGCCCCCATCAGAAGAACCTTGTGATGGGGCTCTGACTCCCTCGCCGTTGAGCTCTAGCTGGCGCTGCGCTGCCTGCCCCCCAGCCACGGAGACGCTTCCAGCATGGACTGCTCACTGGGCCTCCTTTCTGGGGCTGTCTTGAGAAAGGGGGACCCTCCCGAGCAGCCACATGGGAAGCATCCAGCTGCATTTAGACTCCTCCCTGCCCACCCTCTGCTGTTTGTGTCACCCTCCCTCTGGAGCCAGGAAAACCCTGGCCATTCCCACCACCTCTTCCCTGACTAATTGTACCTTTTCTTTATTTTGTCCTTTCAGAAAAGCCAGAGTTGGTATAATGTAAGTATCGCTGTTTCTTTTTTTGTTGCGTTGGCGTGCAGTGGGTGGGGGATGCAGTTGTCAGGGGAGTGGAGCGCTGTGGGGTACACTCTGGCTGCCCTCGGGGGCTTGAGCAAATTGAGGGGCCTTGAAAGGTGCGGTGCTCCCTGGCCAGCCTTCTCCCTCAGAAACCAGATACCGTGGTTGTCTTCCATAGTGGAACCAGACATCTGGTAAGGAAGGGTTTGATTCACGGAGACCAAGAAGGGTGGTCCGTCTCACCCTCCCCTGGACTCCCAGACAAAGTTTTTCCAGCCCTACTGGAGGCGACCAGTCACGGGGAGCATCCATGGAGAGCAGAATTCTGGGACTGGGAGAACCCTGGGGCCTGATTTTGGGGCCAAAGAGTCCTTTCCTTCACATTTTGAAGGAAATGAGGCCAGAAAACTTTCCCCCTTTGTGGAAAGGCTGCCCCAAGTAATGCGATTTGACTTCTGCTCTGTGGCTACCTCGGTAGCTTCAGGGGCGTGCTGCTTCTAGAAGATATCCAAAGCTCTGGGTTATGTGGTGGACACGCACGTAGCCTGGAGTTGTCCAGGGTGGTCAGCCGGCTGCTTTATACCCAGAAACAGGATTGTGGAGTAAGCAGTCCTTTCGAAGGCCTTGTGGTCAGGTCACATAGCCTGCGCCACAGGACTTTGAGCTTTTCTCCTAAAGAGCAGCTGTCTGACGTCTCCCAGCTGGTCTCTGCCACACTGTGCTGCATTCTCTGGGACCGTGGCCCAGCCTCAGGACACGTCTTCCCCTCTCTGAGCCCGTCTTGGGTGGATGCCATCTTTCCACATCCCCCAGAGGCAGAAACTGGGTGAAGAGTGGAAAGCTAAGAGGTGACAAGGGCCCTGCAGTGGGCCTGAGCTCCAGATGTCAGGAGCTGTGTCTGGGTCATCTTCCCATTTTTCTTGGTACGTTTCCACACCTAGAGGGTAATCGGCAGCTGCCACAGTGAGTAGAGCCCTGGAGAGGCCAGCTTCTGGTGACACGGGACCCCCGCCTTTTCCCCCCTGCTCTCTTCTTGAGGCAGAGACCAATGCCCGGGTCCTTGGCCTGTCCACATGCGGGTGTCTGTGGAGGAAGTAAGATGCTGCCTGTTTCACACAGCAAGCGCCACCCTGTATCTGCCCACTCTCGTGTACCAGTGTACTTGTCCATGGCACAGGCCTGCGTGTGGACATTCCCCTAAGCACAATTGCCCTGGCTTGCTCAAGAAGCCGTGATGCCGTGGGTATTTCCCCAGACCACTGGCATCAGTGCCCACGGGCACCCTTGGGTGGCGGGACACAGTGCTCCTGCAGGGTGCCACACATGTGTCCATGCTCTCGTGTGCACAGGCAGCCTCAGACTTCAGTGTCCCCCCCGCCAGCTCCCCAGCACTGCCCCCCAGTAGTCCATTCATGGCTTTTCAGGAGCCCCTTGCTTTGACCTGGTTCTCTGTGGCCCTCTCCCCCCCTGCCTCGGTATTCCCCGAGGTGGCTGCACTCTGGCCTTCGGGAAGCTCTCCTTGTCTCCCTCCTCAGCCCCGCTGACGGCCCTCCGTACAGTCTGTCTCCTGACTCTAGTTGTGCCTCTCTGGCTGGGCTGTTCCGTGAGGCCCTGTGATTGCCCGGGAAGCCCTGCAGAAAGGTAAAGGCCTTGCAGCCCCCAGGAGTGGGAGCATTTGGATTCAGGCCGGCGAGGGCCGGCGCAGACTCGCTGACCGCTGCGCAAACATCTCAGGCCAGCAGAGTAGCCTGGGTTTACTGGGAAGCCCGCCCAGCTCCTCCCTGCCCCCCTCCCAGCCCCCTCAGTTGCCTGGCTCTCTCCTGCACTTTACTTTTCCCTATGTAGTGAGACAGGAGCTGTCGCCGTGATGACACCCCACCTTGGCCTGAAGAGTGAGCCCCTGAGGGGGGAGCGCTGAGCCCCAGTAACATGCAGCAAGGCTGAGTGGAGAGCTTCTTGTCTCTGCCCAGGGATGTTCAGGCCAAGAGTAGGGTTTGGAGGCTGTGCACCTACAGCTGCTCTGAGCCCCTCCCAGGCCTGATTGCACCCCTCTCTCCTTCCCCCTCCCTCATGACCATCGCGTTTATTCATTAAGCCCCCACTAGACTGAGAAGGAGGAATAAGCAGACCAGGGCTTTGCCTTCAGTAGGGAGACCAGGACCCAAGGGATGGGAGGGGTGCAACCCACGCCCTGAAGATGGCCCCTGGGCGCAGTGGGTTTGCATCTTAACTGAATCAGACAGTCGCAGGAGTCACCTCCTGGGTCCCCAGGTGGGCACAGGCGCTGTCCCCAGCTGCCCCACCTCTTTCCCGGGTCAGCCCTCTCCATGGCTCCCAGGGCAGCAGCATTTCGAGGTCAGAAGCTAGGAGGCCGGGCCTGGCAGCCGCCCCAGGCTCAGTGCCCAGGATGCCCGAGGCCCTGTGGTTAGGGTGCTGGCTGGCTGGGGGTTAGGAAGGGATAGTCCAGTCCTGTGGAATGACCGGGCAGGTCTGCCACTCATGCGATTGGGAGCAAGAGAACAAAGCTCTGTGGGAACGAAGTTGGGATGTTAGGGGGGCAGTGAGGACAGTGGGGTGCTGAGGGGGACTGCCGATGGCCACCTTGCAGTCTGGCATGTTTTTTGGGGGACTCAGTGCTCTACCTGTGTCCATCTCCCCTGTGTTATGACCCCTTATCCTGAAGAGCCTTCCTGAGCTGCTCCCCCAGTAGTCATCCTTCAGTTTCTCCAGAGAGGCCCCATCTCCACACGAGACCTACTCCCAAGGCCAATCCTGACTCTACTTTTTGTGTCACCCCCGCAGCCACCCTCTCACCTTTGCTCAGTCCCCTCCCATGTCTCCACTGTCCCCTTATGCCCCACCTGGCTCCTCCCTACCCAGATTTGGTTGGAGGGCTGGGGTTTCCTCTGAACGTCTGAATTGGTTTCTTCCTTCTGAGGCTGATACTCCATCAAAATCCGTCTGTTTTCCTGGCTCCTCCACCGCTTCCCTCCCCACTGCTGTACCAGGGGGGTACCACTTGGTCCCAGCTCCCAGTGTTTGCCATAGAGTTAATGTTTAGCCCAGGGCTAATTCCCTCATCCCAGAGCTCAAGCTACCTGCCCAGCCCAGCCCAGCCCAGCCCGCAGTGAGGGGGCGTAGCAGACAAAGGCTGAGCCCAGGGAGACGGTCTCCCAGGGACTTATCACGCTGGGTGTATCCTGCCCCTCCCATTACAGCCCACAGTCACCCCCTCCTCTGACCCGCAGCAGCGCTCAAGTGTTCTGGGGAATCACTGTAAGGGTTCAGCCCCCCTAGATCTGTGAACCACCTAGGGCCTCGGACCTGCTGTGGCCCCAGAGAGAGGTGGTCTGATCACCCCAGCTGATGGAATTGCTGAGTTCTCCTCCCGTGCTGCCGAGGACAGGGCCACCGACACCCGTAGCGTCGGAGAAGCTCGGCTGTGTGGCTGTGTGGTTTGCAGAGCGTTGACAAGGATGGGGCACCAGGAAGCCTCGCATAGAATAGAGATGTGGGGATCTGTGTGGCTGTGTGCACGCAACATGCCATGTCAATAGGAGCGGTCTTAGAGGTGAATAAGGAATGCGTTCATTTGGTAAACAGATTTTGAGCAGCTGATATTTGAAACACCTTGTGCTGAGTGCCGTAGAAGATAAAAAGCCTTTGGAGGTGTAGATCCTTCCGGGAGTAGCGTCTGAGGGAGCAGTTACCTTGCGTGATAAGATGGATGGAGGCGGGGGCTGTGTCCAGGGTGTGGACATCGAGAGAGGGCTACGGAGTGTGGGGAAGGATGCAGACTGTTCCTCTACTTTCTCCAGCTCAGCTCAGCCTAGAGATCCCGGGTTCCTCTGAACCAGAACCTTTGAGCTGGGGAGTCAAGTCTCTCCATTTTTCATGCCCTCATTAGGTCATTTTTCAGTGTGCTCCAGTTTGAATGCTGCTGGGTCACATCTGTGGGACTCCTAGGGCAGAGGGGCCATTCACCCTCACGGTCGGGCTTGAGGCCCTCCCGGCAAGGTGGGCATAACTGGGGATGGTGAGGGAGGCGCCCTATTTGTTTCAAAGGTCTGACTTTAACTGGGAATCCACGTGTGGCCAGCCCCACTGCCGTCTAGTCCCCGCTCGCCACTTCTCCGTCTGGAGCTCTTCTTGTCCCTGTCCGCCTGGCTCCCGTTCCTCTCCCAGAGATCTCAGCTTCCCTGCGTTTGCCTCCTGTGCACCTGGGGCCAAATCTTCTGCTTCTTGCATCCTGCATTGCTGCTCGGCCCTCAGGGTTTTTGGAGAGGAAGGAGGTGCCTCAGACAGACCCTTGAGCTGTTGACCTCAGCTTGTCTGGGTGATTGGCCCAACTTCTCCCCACCAGCATGTCTGAAAGGAGATGAGAGAAATTTCCAAATCTGCCACCACTGCCTGCTACAGGGAAATTGGTGGATGGATGGGTCAGTGAGGGCAGAGTGTGTCTCCAAGAAGTTCCTGGCTGTTGGAGTGTCCAATTTCAGATTTCATCATAACAGCAGTGTCCCTGGCACCCCCTCCCCCTCTTCCACTGGGAGCTCTGGCCAGCTACTTTCCATTGCAGGAAACATCTGCCGGGGAGGCCAGGCTAGGCTGGGGGTTACTGGAGGACATTGGCCAGGACCGTCACCCAGATCCTGTAACGTGAAGCATGTATAGGGCTCTGGCCCTGACCGCCCACCCATCCACCCTGCGTCCCTCCCTCCCTCCTGCCGCGGGTGACTCTAACAAAGAAGTTATTTGCTGGTCAGCCAAGAGGAGCACAGTCTGGAAGCAAAGGGGTGTGTGTAAGGGGTGGGGTGAGAGCAGGCCCCGTTGTCCCAGCCCCTGGTGGCCGCTCCGCCTGGGTGAGGAATATGAGTCACAGCGACCAGCGCCCGCCCAGGGTAGAGCTTGCACATTGAACGGGCTGCTTACGGGACAGGCCAGGGAGCTGGGGAGCCGGGCATTCATTGTCTCCCCGGGGTGTCAGGCCAACTGTGAGCCACTCTGCTGTGTGTGAGTAGCTGGTGGGGCGGACCTCTGGACCTGGCTGTGGGGTTGACCTATTCCCGTGCAGTTTTCCTGTCCACTGGGGGCCTGCTGCTCCGAGCCCTCAGCTGGCCCTGTGCACCTGCCGTGTCTTCTGTGCCCTCTGGCCTCAGCTGGCTTCTTGGAGTGGCTGTCTGTACTGACCAGAAGGAGGAACTTCACACTTCACTACATCCCCTCTGGGACACCCTCAGCCCGAAGACCGACCCTACTGTGGGAACCGGTGGAATAAAGCAGCGCCCAGTCATGGGAGACTGGCCGGCCAGCCTGTTCCAAGAACCTTGCTGATCACACCCTCCCCCTTGCAAGGTTTTTCACTGGGAACAAAGCTCAAGGAGGAAAAAGGAGGCTAGCCAGGGTCACACAGACCCTCTGCCGAGAAGCCAGCCATCACCTATCTGCATTCAGCCCAGGCAAGACCAACTGTTTTCATCCTGTGGGGACTTAGGGAGTCAGAGCTCCAGGAACTGGGCTTCACTGGGAAGGGGAGTTGTCGTGGGGAGAGGGGGCAATGGAATCTTTGACGGAATCTGGGGTCCTCTGGAGCCTCCTGCTGGACCTGGAAAGCCAGCCTTTGCAGTGGTACCTGAAGAAGATGACAGAAGGTCCTGCTGGTGCGGAACTCTGTTACTGGCATGGATCTGAAGAAATCCCAGCTGTGAGTGTGCAACCCAGTCTCTGTGTGACAGCCCTGCCTCACTCTTGTCCTTCCTCACTTGGCCCCACTACCTAAGGGCCCCCGATTTGATAATCGAACCAAAAATTCTTTGGCCATTTTGAATTAAAATAGGTGAGCCATGTCTCACCTTTGGAGGAGGTTAATTTAAGAGTGCAGGGGTGGTAGGCAGAGGATCATGGTCTCTTACGTCAAGAGGATATATGGTGGCAGGCCGATGTAATGCGTTTCTGTACTGTAGACTCTAGGGGGCAGAGACTGGCCTGCCATCGATGTGGGTAACCTGGTGGATTCAGGGCATTTATCTGCGAGCCTGAGTTAAGGAGTCCCTGCACCCAAGCCAGTCCCTGTGGACCGGCCGACTTCAGAGGTCAGGGCGGGATTTGCCCTCCTCTTCCCACAGCTACTGCTTTGTTCCAAGGAGAGGAGAGGAGCAGCCCCTTCATTTGCCAGAAATTTGGTTTGGAAATTATGGCCAGCCTCCCTGCACTTCCACCTCTGTAGACGTCTGAGTTCCCGTCGGATATGAGGGAGGCAGGGGTGAGCAAGCCATGTGGGAGGAACATGCAAAATAGGGGGACTTCCAGGCTTCAGGTAATTGGGTGCCTGATGCCGGTTTCTCCTAAAGGGCGTTTGGGGCCACCTGGTAGGCTGGTCCCCAGGCTGATATTGGAACTTCATAAATATAAAGACCCACATGGATGATACAGTTAAAAAAAACAAACCCTTAATTACGATACAACACCTGTAACATATATATGTATCCTCTCCAGCATTTCTGAATGTACAGTTCAGGAGCATTTAGTGCATTGGCCTTATTGTACAACAATTTCCAGAACTTTTTCATCTTGTAAAACTGACACTTTCTATCATCCCCCTGACCCTGCATAAAAAAAAAAAGAGGCCCCCTTGTGGGCATGGAGAGCTAGCTGGAGGCCCCAAGCTAGTAGGTATACATCTTATCCCCAAGGGTGTGTGCGGTGCTGGGGGCATCCCTGCTGTTTCCCTCTTGACGCAAGGACCCTGGGGCAGCAGAGTGCTGGCTCCTTCCAGGATCCCTGGGTCCCACCACCTAGCTTCATATCCCACACTCCCACTTAGTAACCTCAGGCAGGTTGCTTAACCTCTTGTGCCCTAACTTCCCCAGGCATGAAATGGGATAATAGAACAATCCTGTGTCAACTGCAGCACCATACGTGATGGGCTTGTGACTGCCTGGGTTGTAGCAATAACTCATTCTGTGCTAGCTTAATTATAGCTCCAGAAGGCAGGTGGGAACTTACTGACAGCCAGGCAAGCATTGCCAATGTCCTCAAAGATTGTCCTTTGAGGCCAGGGGACCATTTGAATTGGTTATCTCACTGTCAGCCTGAAACTTACATATGGGCCAGAGGGTCTTTGTATCCTGAGGTCTTTGTTAGCCATAGAAGTCACATGGTGGGCTGGCTTGCCAATATTCCCTCCCATTGTCCTTGATGCTTGGTTTAAATGTATGGTAGGTGATTGTTGAACTTTGGGATTCTACAACATGGCATTGCTTTGGGGAAGGTAGCAGGGTGCCCACTAGTGCAGGTTATCTCATAAATAAGCGAAAACAAAGACTTAAAGTTCACATTGGCTAGACAAAGTAATTGAAAACACTCTCCTGTCTCCGCTGGAAAACCTCCCCAAACTGACTTTATGCCATTTTCTCCCCAACATCCTGAAATGCCCCTATTCCCTCTATCCCAAAAGCCATGGGGCCCCTTAGCTCAGGCACTCATTGCTGAGAATGTGATCAGGCCACAGCCACGGCTTCCTTATGGGCCATTTAGCTTTGCAGAAAGCCAAGAAAAACGAACAGTTCAAAGCGCATTCCATCCTGGCCACAGCCTTATCCTGTGGATTCCCCGGGAAGTGAGTGAGAAAGTGTAAATGGCCAAGTCCTGTCTGTCCCCATTGCCAGGACAATGTCTGCATGCCCGCGCTCCTGGCACAAGTAGGCCAACGAATTGCCTGGGTGGAGTGCAGATGTTTCTGGGTCCTAATGCCTGGCTCTTTGGGGTTGAGCACATGCCTTCTTCCTGTATCACCCTTGGGTGCCTTTTATGTACGGGGCACATTTTTCTTTTTTTAATTTTAAGATTGTAAAGCTTGGAAAGAGCAAAATTCCTGTCTCTTCAACTGGCTCATAGGATTTCCTGGGAGGCTTTGCTCAGGCAGTTGATGTGTATGAGTCCGCGCTGGGCACAGGGCATCTGGTGGCACAGGTGGTGGCGGGTGGTGAGCAGGACCAGAGATGGAGAGATCTGCCCCTGACCAGCTTGGGGACCTTGGGCCTTCTCCCTGCCTTAGTTTCCTCAGCTGTCATGTAAGTGTTGGCTTTGATCATCTTGTAAAGGATGGTGAGGAAATGAATGAAGAGTGGGTACTTCTAATGTGCTTTTAAATTCTGTGTGTGTGTGCCTACTCTAGTGCTAGCTTTATGTTTTTTTTTTAATCCAGTCTTTGTAAAGTACAATTTTCCTCCAGTTTTATTGATACATAACAGACAGAATATTGGTTTTATGATTTTTTTTTTTTGTAGTCATGAATTTCACACACACCCAAGTGCTTACTGTTGGTCATGATAAAACTTGTGGGGGATGCGCTGGGCATCCTCACATCCTTGGTCCTGTGGGGGCTTAGGGGAAGACCCCGTGGGCCTCTGCCTTACTGTCCAAGTGGTGCTTCTGCTGGAAGAAGGCAGAATATGGCGCTGCTTTGGGGAAGCCACATGGGGAAGGCATATACCCAGGAAGCTCCCTGGAGGTATCCCATCTTGGGATGTGATGTGGGCCCTGCTTTGTTTGTATGTTTGATGTTTTTCTCATGGATGGATGTTGGATACAGAGCCTTATACAGCATCAGATTCTGTCTGGTGTTTTTCCATGCCCCGCCCCCTTTGCCTGACCTGGTCCCCATGCTGTGCCTCGTCTTACCCTTTCTGACACTGGGGCAGCCACTGCTCCCGCCCCTCCTCCCGTGTGCCCACAGAACCTGGGATCCTCAGCTAACCTTGGTCATTGACATAACCATTGTCATGCAGGTGTTAAGCCCCACCTACAAACAGAGAAATGAAGACTTCAGGAAGCTCTTTAAGCAACTCCCAGACACGGAGCGCCTCATCGTCGGTGAGTTGGGGGCCCTGGGGTCCCAGGGGCAGCAATTAGGCTGCCTGTGTCTGAAGGTTCCCCACATGAGAGCCGAGGGAGGATACCTCTCCGGGCACAGGGGGCGAGGATGTCCAGGGCGCTGACCCAGTGGTCCGGGCTCAGGGCTGAGCCACACGTTAAGCGGTGGCCTGGGGAGACGGCCCAGTCTGGAAGGAGTCAGTGCCGCTCTTATCTGTGCAGACGGCCCGGCTGGGAGGGGTTGGGGTCACTCTGGGTGGGAGAGGGCGCCAGATGAATTTTATTACCCTTTTCCAACTCTAACTTTCTTGCCCCCCTCTGCTTGCTGTCTCATCCATTGCTCTGCCTCTAGGCAGTAGCCTGCCTGTTTCACATCCTTCCCCATCCTGATCAGGCGCTAGGGACTCCCTTGCCGCTAGTTCCAGTGTCTCTCGCACCTCGTCGGTGGTGGGCGGGCGGGCTCCCCCAGTGCTGGCGGGAGGGGGGCATGCCTCACTTCTAGTGGTTTGCTGGGAACGCCGCCCTGAGCTCCTCTGTGTCCACCCCACCGCAGATTATTCCTGCGCACTCCAGAGAGACATTCTTCTTCAGGGCCGACTCTACCTCTCTGAAAACTGGATCTGCTTCTACAGCAACATCTTCCGCTGGGAAACGCTGGTAAAGACCCAGGCTGGTCCCTTGGGCTGTCCCCATGGCTGTGGCTGAGCGAGCTGTCCCCACTTTCTTCCTCTCGTTGACCTGAGGCTCTACCCAAGCCCTTGCATCATTAGCAAAAGCACACGCCTGAGTCTTGAAGGACTGGTCTCCTATCCCACATCTTCCCCTGCCTTCCTCGCGGGTGTGGAAGGGAGTGTTAACAGCATTTGCTTTTGGCAGATGCACGTAAATATTTCACAGGAGGCAGAATAGTAGTAAAAAGGGCATTGGCCTTGGGAGTTGGAATTGGCTTATATACATTCTGGCTTCTGGAACTAATTGGCTGTATGATTTTAGGCTAGTCCTTTATTCTTTCTTTGCCTCTGTTTCCTTGTCTTATAAAGTGAGAGGAGGTAAAGCAGATGACTTCAGTGGTCCCACTCAGTGCCAGTGTTGTGTGTGTCTGTAAGTGGCACCTAATGAGGGGACCTCTGTATGTTTATCAGACAGTGCACAAATGAGAAAGAAACTTCTTTGGACCAAGAATCAAGACACCTTGGGCTCTAGGTGACAGGCAGTCTGACCTAAGAGGCTAAACCGCATGATCTCTAAGGGAGGCCTTATAGGCTTAGAAGTAGGCAGACTGTGATCTGATCTGATTTCCTCTCTGATGCCACGTCAACACGACCAGCCCTACTAATGCCTCTTCTTGCTTGTTGTCCATTCTCTGTCCCTGTGGGGGTGCCAGCTCACTGTCCGTTTGAAAGACATCTGCTCCATGACTAAAGAAAAAACAGCTCGCCTCATTCCCAATGCCATCCAAGTTTGCACTGACTCAGAAAAGGTTAGTGAAGTCTGCTCTTGGACTTTGTTCCCCCAAACCTCAGCCCCTATATTTTTGTATTTCTGCCCTTCAGTTGCATTAATATGGAGGCCAGTAGGATCAGGGGGAGAGATGGGAGGTGGTGCAGGTTGCAGGGTCACCTCTGTGGTGTGCTGCATGTTTGGGGTCTGACTAGGGGGGCTGGGAGAGTGGCAGGATGTTGAACTTGGAGCCAGAACACATGAGTTTGAGTCCTGTGACTGTAGGCATATTATATAACTTCTGTGAGCCTCAGTTTTCTCATGTGTGAAATGAAGCCAGCAACACCTATTTAACAGAGTCCTGAAATGACATAGTTGTATGAAAACGCTAAATTGTAAAGTGTTATACAAATATAAAGTGTTATCATCATGTGTCAGCATAGCTTATTGAGGGGAAAGAGGAATCTCATAGGAAACGGATTGGGATGGGGAAAATGCAGTAGATAAAACAGAGGGCAGAGAAGACAGTGCTCTTTGACCTTTAACGAGAGACTGAAGACTAGGAGCTTCGGGGATAGAGGTATTAGGTTTATGCTGAACACAAGGTCTACGGTGACTTTGGACCTGCACAAGGACCAAGAGACTTGGGGTCAGAGAGTCAGTCTTTGGTTTGAATTCTGTTCCTGGCACAGATGAGCTACGTGATTACAGAAGTCGCCTAGTCTCACCAGCCTCTTTCTCTTTATTTAGGTACTAGCTATTAGGTATTAGTTAAAGTTGTTTTCCAAGGCTGTGCTGTGGTGTAAATGAAGCATCTAGAACATATTCAGTAAAATCTGCTCTTCTGCTGTGTTCTTCCCATGTATTGTAAAAGGTCCGCACTCACGTGTAAGCTCCCTAGGAGCAGGGTCTCTGTTTTGTTTGCTATTGTCCCCCCAGTGTGTAGAGTCATGCCTGGCACATACTCTATTCAAATATTTGTGGAAATAATGAATGCTGATTGAAAGGGTGAGTGGGAGGGGGTTAAGCCTCCCCTTCCCTTGAGGCTGGTTCCCAGCTCACCACTCACCAGTTCCCGAGGGAGGTAAAGGACATTTTAGTGGAGGTGAATGTGTCACCCCAGGGAGAAGCACCCAGGAAAGTGTGGGTGAGTATGGAGGACATGGGTTCAGTGGGGACTGAGAGGCCACAGGCCCCCGGCCCCCAGTGTGCTGAACCCGTCACTAGAGCACCTGGCTGTGATCACGCATCCGTCACTGAGCCAGTGGTATCAGAGGATGAAATCCAGAGCTTTTTTTAAAGCACGAAGCACCATGTCTCCATTAATCATGGTGTAGGTCTTCACAGACACATCTTGCCATTTCTCTTCCAATCCAGCACTTTTTCACTTCATTCGGGGCCCGGGATAGGACGTACATGATGATGTTCCGGCTCTGGCAGAACGCTCTCCTTGAAAAGGTAAGTGTTCCCAGTTACTTCCTTCGGCCTCAGGACGCACATCCGCCTAGAATGTTCTCTCCCCCGCTGTGTGGGTCCCATGGAGAGATTGCTCTTACTCTGGCCTTGGCCAGTTCCCAAGAAGCCCATGTTTCATGTCCTGGAAGTCCCCAGACCTGCGGTGAGTAACACAGTCTCCCAGGGTGGTGCTGAGTCCTGAAAGCAGTGTGTCCTCCCCTGTGAACGGCCCCGTGGCTGCCCAGAGCAGGGCCTTCCTGACTCCGCACATGCCAGTTCCACTATTTAAAAATGTGCCAGGAGTTAAATCTGCTACGGTAAGACACAGGGGCGTGGAATGACTGTGTCACGAAGGAAGGCGTTTACACCAGCACAGCTCCCTAGAGGCAGAGGCGCCTCATGCCACTCAGGGCCACGTGGGAAAGCCCCCCGGCCAGTCGGGAGGCAGAGGGAAAGTTTGGGTAAGAGTCTTCCGTGTTTTCACAGGAAGGAGTGAGTGAGGCAGGACAAGCAGGTTGAGAATTGGCTAGTTTACATGATTTCTCCGGGCTTCCAGGTGGAGTCTGTACTTGCCAGGTACCTGTCCCTGGAACAGGGGAGTATCAGCTAGGAGTGTGAGAGCTGGAGAAAGAAGGTGGTTGGGGGAATGGGCTTTGGATTGGCTGGTCACACATGAGAGACGAACTCCTGGGCAAGCTGGTGTCTGTTGCTGCCCATGGGGGATGAGGGGCCGTCCCTCCCAGGTCAGCAGGGCCTCAGATCGGAGCAGCAAAAATACGGAGGACAGGAAGAGAGTTCACCCAGCCCCCGGTTAACCACTCGAGCGTCTGCAGGACTCCGGGGGGGCGAGATGCAGAGGCGATACTGCGGCGGCAAGCCTTGCAGAACTGCCCCTCAGAGGCCGCGGGGTGTTGAGAAACAGCCTCCAAGCCAGAGAAAGAGACATAAGAGATACAGTTATAGATACATAATTATAATCATCACTATGTCATGTATGTGACATGCGTGTATTTAGCTCTTGGTGTGCTTCCAACTTGACTCTAGCCCAAACGTAATACTATCTAAAGAAAATTGAGATTTATTATTTAGTTTCTTCTGACCTGACAGTCTAAGGCCTGGTATAAATCCTGATCATTGATATGAGCTGAGATCCTCTGCCTTTTGTATTAGCCAGTAACAATGGTGAAATGACAACGTGTTTGAATCTCTTAACTGACAGGTTTGAATTTTCAGTTCACAATCAATGTAAGAAAGAGGGTCAACCATATGGTTCACAAAAGTTTTCACCAAAAAAGAGTTTGGCCTGATGAACAGGGTCTGTTGATGGTCCTTGTCCCCCAGTGGTAGGACAAGCTGAGCCAGGTGAAATTGGTCAGGGAAAGCTGCCTGGAAAAGGTGAATTGTGAAGGTGCTGGGGACCGTGGCTTGGCGGAGAGGCTAATGTGTCCCAGGCAGGGAGAATGGTATTCATGAAGGCCAGGATAGGGAGGAGGGGGTCCAGATAAAGGAGCAGGAGCTGCTCCCCCGCTCTGGCACCGTGAGGCCCAGCACACTGAGCTGCCCTCACACCCTGCCGGCTCAGAGCCATGCTTTCTGGGCCAGTTTCTTTAGCCGGAAAACCAGAAACCTGGCTCATTCTCCCTGCTGAGTACCTGCTGCTTGAACCATACCTTGAAAGGATGGGCGTGGAACATCCTCAGATTCTTTATCAATTCTATTGGCTAACAGTCTTTAAATATGATTTTTTTTTAAGATGTTGACTGCATCTGTTTGCTCGACACCCCTTGCCCTCCTTTTCACACACTTATCCCTACCACCTTCTCCCCCTGCCCCCCGCCGACACCCATTCGTGGTCCCCACCTCTGATCTTAGTTTTTTGACATTCTGTTGTCTCTTTCCCAAAACTCTGAACCTCGTGAAGGCTAACTTTCCTTAGGACAGTGCTTTTGAGAGGAGCGTGTAGACAGCCAGTGAAATCAGAAACGCTGGAACTACATAGAGCTGCGGGCAAACTGATTCTACTAACGAATAAAGAAGGACGTGTTCATGTAGTTGAGAGGGCTGGATGCAGTCGATCCTTGAGGCCCCTTAAACTAGGAGACTGTCGGCTTCTTTCTAACCACAGGGTCTGTCCAACTACGCAGTGGGCCACTTTTGAGGTCATGGCTCATTCTTGGACATGATCCAGCGGCCCTGTTGCTATAAGGAGGTTTCTGCTGTGCAGGGGAAACTGGCTCAAGGGCCTCAGTGCTTGTCTGAGTCTTGGAAGTTCTGTGATCCTATTGGCCCCAGAGTAACAGCAGTTTATGCTGCTTAATGCTGGACCTCATCTGTAGGGGTGAAAGGTGGACAGTCACCGCCCTCCAGGGGCCAGTTGGTCCCATTTTGTAAACCTGAGTTGGGGCACCAGACCGAGTTCCCGGCTTTGCTAAAAGCCATTTTCTTCTGCTGAAGATTGATGTCTTGCTGAGATCCCAAGAGGAGAGAAGGAGAGGCATTGGTGTCCTTTTAGTTCTCTAGGGAGAGCAGAGCCTGGCTTCTCCTACTCTCGAGGGAGGCCAGCTCAGCTCCGTGCCTTGTGCGGAGTGGCGTCCCAAGGCAGGAAGGGTGAGGGTCCCTGTGTTTTCTCCACAGCCCCTGTGCCCCAAGGAGCTCTGGCACTTCGTTCACCAGTGCTATGGGAACGAGTTGGGCCTGACCAGTGATGACGAGGACTACGTGCCCCCTGATGACGACTTTAATACGATGGGGTGAGCAGGGCAGAGGGAGGGCTGTCCAGGGAGCCTCTCCAGGAGGGGTGCGGATGACATCTAAGCAAGGCCCAAGAGGAGGGAGGGAGTGAACCAGAAGGTGCCTGTGGGGAGACCCTCCCGGGTGGAGGGAACAGAGAGCGCGTGGCTGGGTGGAATGAACAAAAGGTAAGTGAAAAGGGGTGAGGTCATGGAGGCCGGGACCAGAGTCTGAAGGTCTTTCAGCCAAAGTGATGACTGGCTTTTACTCAGTCATGATGAGAAACCATGGGAAGGCTTTGAACAGATAATGGGTAAGTTTGGATTTAACATTTTAACAGGACAACCCTGGCTCCTGGGTTGAAAATAGACTAAAGGGGTGCAAGGGCAGACTGGCTCAGAGGCTGTTGAATAATTCAGGTCTTTTAGATGAGAGACGGATGGTGGTTTGGACAACAGGGCAGCAGTCAAAATGGCAACAACAGGTTACTTTTTAGATATATTTTGAAGGTAGAACAAGACGTATTTTAAAGGATTTGCTGATGGATCAGAAAGGAATCCAAGGTGGCTTTAAAGTTTTCTTGGGTTTCCCAACGCCAAGGGTAGAATTATTCTGAACTGATATAGACAATACTATAGGCAGAGCAGATCTGGGGGGAAGATCAGAAGCTTGGTTTTAAGCAAGTTGAGTTTGAGATGACTGTTAGCCAAGCGGAGATGTCACATGGGCATTGGTGTGTGTGAGTATGGAGTTCACTGGGGAAGTCTGGGCTAGGGACTTAAACTTGGGGGCTATTAGTAGACTGTCAGAAGTTTGGCCAAAACCACCAAGTGACTGAATGAATCAGAGGTTCAGGGACAGAGCCTTGGAAGGAGCAGCAGAAATCATGAGACAACATCCAGGGACATGGGAGGAACACTAGGAGACCTACATCTCCTAGAAGCCAAGGGAGGCACCTTTTAAGGAGAGGGGAGTGTCACTGTGTCACATGCCATCAGTAGATTAAGAAAGCTGGGACTGCAAAGTGACACAACATGCTTGGGGCTGGAAGGTAGGTGGAGGCTTGGGGGTCGAGTGAGAAGCACAGAGAGATGGAAGGTATTGAGTGGGTAGTGTGCAGACCTGGGCTCAGGTATGATTTCTGACACTTAATCGTGGCATCACTTAACCTCTGTGAATATCTGCTCGATTATATTTAAAATGTATGCAGTGATTTACTCAGAGCTGTCACACACCCAGATGAGGTGATGTGTAAGGTATAAGTGAGATGTTGACAATGGTGGTTTCTCCCTTGGGAGAGGCTACAGCGGCATCCCAAAGTGTCCCTGGAAGGGCACCCACCTTTATCTCAAGGGGGATTACCCCTCAGGTGCACAACTGGGAGAAGGCCACTAGTTAGGATCCGAAATCGGGGTGGTGCCACTGAAGGGCACTTCTCCCCAGAGTCCGGGGTCCGAGTCACCATGTGGGAAATAAAATGTGTGCTCAGAGATCAGACACTAGATTCAAGTGATCAGGCTGGGATGCTGATGGGACAAAAAAAAAATTTAAGGCAAATAACAGTCAAATTTAGGGTGGGGATAAATCTAAGGAGGGTGCCTAGAAAGCATGAGTTTGGAGCCGGAAGTTTTGCATGGGTGTGGGGGGCATAAGGTGGGAAGGAGGTTTCAGGAGAGCAGTGTGGGGGCCGAGGGGTTGCAGAGGAAGGTCACCTGCAGAGCGAAGCAGTGGGAACGCCTGTCTTTTGGGATGGGTGGAGAGGTCTGAGGGAGTCTTGGCCCCCGAGACTGACACGGACTCATGGCGTCCTCCTCAGCTACTGCGAGGAGATCCCCGTCGAAGAGAATGAAGTGAACGACAGCTCATCCAAAAGCAGCGTAGAGACCAAGCCGGACGCCAGCCCACAGCTGCCCACGAAGTCCATCACCAACAGCACCCTGACGTCCACAGGGAGCAGCGAGGCCCCCGTCTCGGTACGCGCAGGAAGCCATTGCCTTCCAGCTGCGCAGGCCCCCACCTGGCAGCAGGGAGAGGGCGCATGGGCCACGCTGCGGTCCGTGTATTCAGGGGGGCGTCCCAGAGCACACGGGGCTCTGTGCCATCCGACGGTGTGGCCCCAGGGGTCCAGAGCCGGGTTCTTAGCAGTTCAGGTACAAGGTTTTGCTTGACTTCTCAGCAGATGAAAACTGTTCGAAGCCCACTGTGTGAGCTTTGCTCTCGGTGGGCTGTCGCAGATCGGCCCCTCTCGGGGAGCACTATTCTAGGCCTTTTTTTTCACTGCCTGGATCTGAAGTCAAAGGTGTGCATGCATGTAGGGCTATAGAACTGTTGTCTGTTTATTCATTCACTCAATAAATAGTTTTTGAGTTCTTAGTATACACACTCTGATTTTATGTCCCACTGTGCTAGACTTTTTGAGAGATAGATCAAAAGTGTGAAAGGGGGACCTTTGTCCTCTGGGGCCCAGTCACAGAGGGAATAGAAGCTTGATGAAGGAGGAATGTCAGCTGGCAGACAGAAGATGGGTACGCTTCCTCAGAAAGGATTCCCAGAAAAGGGAGCCTTGTATTCCGGTGGCTTAGAGGTCAGATCCCTGGGCCGTTGAATGAAATCATCATTTTTATGATGCCTAGTCTCTGTTTTCTGTCTCTGAAGTTATCTTTAAAATGTAAAGAATTATATGTGTTCCCTTCCAGGGCTAATGGGAGAATGAATCAAAAGCTGCTTATGAAGCCTTTTGAGCTTCTAGTGAGAGGCAGGCGCGCATTGTTGTGGTGCTGTGGAGTGTGGCTCCAGAGCCGTGGCCAGAGGAGCTGATTGCCAGCCTGGGCTTGGTGTGTTATTTAGTGGCGAGCAGGAAAAGGTGGCACCCTGTACCACGCTCTGTCATCTTCCGTGGTGGAGCTGGGCAAGACCCCCAGAGCACAACTGCAGCTCAGCTTCAGAGCAGCTGTGTTGCGAATGTCGGGGGGCCTCTGGGGCCGGGTCCCTAATCTCCCTCGGGAGAGTAGACGCGGAGCAGGTTGCGCCTGTTGGGTGACTGCTCTGTCTCCACCACAGTTTGATGGCCTTCCCCTGGAGGAGGAGGTACTGGAGGGCGATGGGTCCCTGGAGAAGGAGCTCGCCATTGACAACATCATCGGGGAAAAGATTGAGATCATTGCGCCCGTGAACTCCCCTTCCCTGGACTTCAATGACAATGAGGACATCCCCACCGAGCTCAGTGACTCTTCCGACACCCATGATGAAGGTGAGTGTTTGAAAATGGGTGGCAGAGCAGCTCTTCCCCTCTCCTTTAGGAGGGATAAAAGGAGGTCCCTATATGGCTAGAGTCAGTCTGTGGGTCCCTGGTGGAAAGGGGGCTGGGACACAGCTTTGTTTAGAAAAAGACACATTTATGATAGGATACTTTCCTTTCTTCAGGTACCCAGTGCAGGAGCCTCCTCATTCCACATTCATCTTTCTTTGTTCAGCAGATAATGCCATGTCCTGCCATCCAGTCTTGTCAGTAAATGCATCCCCTGCTGACGCTGGCTGGCCTTACAGCTCTGTCCCTCACAGGGCTGCAAGGCAAGGTCATGTTTGTATGCCACAAAGAAAGTGACAGCCAGCTGCTCCCTGGAAATAATATGATGTTAGTGGAAACTTGCTCTAGTGCCCCAGCGTAGGGTCTGTAAGCCCAGTAGAAGAAAAGGTCCTGCTGGGTTAGACAGATGCTAGATTCTAGCATTTCTAAGATAGCTTCTTACTTCTCACCTGCATGGGGTTAGCTTCTAGGACTTCACCCAGAGAACACACTGCTTCTCATGTTCCAGGAAGAGAAACCAAATTCTCAGTGTTCATGAAACTGATTGATGGTTTACCTCCACTGAATTGGTGGGAGGTGATAACTAGTGAGTATATGCAGGTGATGCTCATTTATCCATCTGAGGACAGTCCCTCCTCTGGGTCCCTATAGGGTTTTCTCCTTCGTTTGGGTTCCCTGCTCCCATCTAGGATGCAGGGCCAGTGCAGATGACTGCGTGACACCAGGGGTGCTATTCCCGTAAACTAAGAAGTGACTCTCTCCCTGGCTGTGCGCACGCAGTACTGCCTGTCATAGGCACTGGCCCTGTAGGATGCTCCTGTGTCCCTCTCTGGCCTTCTCAGAGTCATAGGGGTTCCAGAAATATCTGCATCCTGCTTGAGGTGACATACCAGCCCCTGTGGGTGCAGGAATCAGAGACTATGGGGTGCCGAGGGCTTGAGAGGAATGCTGGGGCTTGAGTAGCTCACCTGTACCTTCATGCACATTGTCCTATAGCAGACAGAAACTTCAGAAATTAAAAGTTATTGAAATAATGGGGGATATAGGCTGCGTCATGGAAAGAGAGCAGACCTTATATAGTTACACTGTGGCCTTGCAGATCAGCCTCCTTAGAAGCTTTCACAGAAACAGACTGTTCCAGATGAGTCAGTGTCCCTTGAACACACCATGGGTTGCAGTGCTGTTTGTTGTCCATTGTGGTGAACTTACAGACTTTTGATAACTGATCCTTTGGGTTCAGGAAAGCTCAGAAAGAAGTCATTTGTTTACATTTTAGTCTAAGATCACCTTAATTAGGAAGGCTTAAAAGTGGAAAAGCGAATAGTGCATTCCCAGACTCTTACAGATGAATCCATAGAGAGCCATCCAGAGTAAATAGTGTGTGTGCCCGTGAAAGGAGGACACTGATGCCAAGTCACAAACCACAGGGTCCAGGGGCCCAGACGTCCCACCCCGCGGCCTCCCTTGACCTTTGGTGGCCATTCCCACATTAGTCACAGAAACCTCGGTGCTCTGGGGGATGCCCCTTGGGTCACCTGCCTCAAAGCCTTCACGACTTCCTCACCCTCCAGGCGAGGTGCAGGCCTTCTACGAGGACCTGAGCGGCCGGCAGTACATGAATGAAGTCTTCAACTTCAGCGTGGACAAGCTCTATGACCTCCTGTTCACTGACTCGCCCTTCCAGCGGGACTTCATGGAGCAGAGACGCTTCTCGGGTCAGTTCTCCCTGGGGCTGGCACCTCCCCTTCCTTCTGTCTCTGCCACCCTTCTTCTCTTCCCATGTGCTCTCCCTTTCCAGGTCCCCCTGGTGGCCGGGGCGCCCTGTTTCTGGCCTTAGACTGTTCCCAAGCTCTGCTCGGGCCCCGCCTGCTACTCCTTCCCCAACGCTGCAGCTTTACGCTGGCCCACTGTAAAGTGCTGGGCCCTGACGTGCGCCAGCCAGCACGGCCTCACAGGGCTCACCATCTAGTACGGAATAGCAGTCACTCCCACTGCTTCCTGTAGGTGCCAACTGTATGCCACGTGCATTCCATTATCTCATTTATTCCTCATCTGCCTGTGTGCAAGTTTCGTGATCCTCACAGTAATGATAAAGAACCAGGAACTTTGACATTCCTTGCCCAAGGTAATGCAGCTAAGAAGAGGCTGAGCTGAGATTCAAGTTTAAGGTGCCGTGTTTATACCCTGCACCACTGTGCTCCCGTGTGGCCCCCTGCCCCTGTTCTGCCCCACAGCAGGGCCTGGGGCTCTGGCCTAGCAGAGCTGCTGAGCATCCCAGCCTGTGAAGGAGCACGGGGGCCTCAGTCAACCCCTGTGCCTGAAGGAGAGGGCATGCGGAGGTCACGCCTTTGAGGAGAAGACTTGTTCCCAGGGATCCCAGGGATCCCAGGCCCTTGTCACAGTAACTCCAGTGTTGCCAGCACCCCCGTAGGTGGCCCCAGGACCTCCTGCCCCAGCCCCAGGGACAATCGGCATTCTGGAGCCCTGTGTAGAATTTTGGCAGTGCCACAATAACCTCTTTCTGCTTGGACTCCCCTCCTCCCGCCCCTCTCTCCTGGCCCTCGGGCTCCCATTGGCTTCCTTTTGGGGCTGTCAGTACAGTCAAGAGAAGCTCACCCGGAGGGGAGCTCCAGAGGTGGGGAGAGCGAGCCTCCCTCCCTCCCTCACCCCACAGCTCTCCTCTGCCCTCAGATATCATCTTCCACCCGTGGAAAAAGGAAGAGAATGGGAACCAGAGCCGAGTGATTCTTTACACCATCACCCTGACCCACCCTCTGGCTCCCAAAACGGCCACCGTCAGGGAGACCCAGGTGAGGGGGGTGGGAGGGCTGCGCTCCGCATGCAGGGCTCTGACCACACGCGGGGAGAGTCTCTGGGTGCAGGTGTAGTTCAGTCCCCGAACAGGGGCATCTTCCGTGCTTGGATGCCACCGTTTCCTGCGGCCCTGGGCCCTCCGTCTGGAAGCTGGGTGGGGGTGGGGGAGCCTGGAGCAGCAGGTGCTTTCCCCATCATGCTTCTCTTCAGTCTGTCTGACAGGCCATTCCCCCCTCAGACCATGTACAAGGCGAGCCAGGAGAGCGAATGCTATGTGATCGACGCCGAGGTCCTCACCCACGACGTGCCGTACCACGACTATTTCTACACCATCAACCGCTACACGCTCACCCGCGTGGCTCGGAACAAGAGTCGACTCAGGTGCGGGGTGCAGGGCGTGCATGGGTTCCAAGGACGCTCCTGGTGCCCTTTCACCAAGAATACCCCTTGGCTGCCGAGGAGAGGGAGACTGGGTGGATTGGCCTGCCCACGTGCTCTGCATTCTGCCTTCTTTCTGAACCCTCACCTCCCCCGTCCTGACAGGGTTCATTATTCTCTCCCCGATGTGTCTGCTTTACCACTCTGCACGTCTCTTTAGCAAAACCTTTATAACTAGTGCTATTTAGTGTCAGTAGTTTATAAAGTACTACATAGGTGCTTTACTACATAGCTACATGAACTGGAATTTTTAAGTGACCCAAGGAGGTGGATTCATCCTCCATTCTCAGATAGGAAAACTTAAAGCCATGTATGTTAAACAACTCTGCCAAGAGTCATATCCCTACTAAGTGCTGAAACTGGGTCCTAGCAGTGCAGTCCTGTGCCCTTGGCACTGTGCCACGTGTCCTGCTATTTACCATTCGTCTCCTGGTGATTGATCAGGAATCTCGTTCCACTCGCTACATGGGTCCTGCACACATCAGAGTCCAGGAGCTGTTGTTTGGATGGAGCGCTAGAATGTTGTTAGTGGGTAGAGTCCTGTCCTAGGCACTGTGGTGGCCATTCAAGAAAGGAAGAAATTTAGATCCTGACATTTTAAGAAGCTTGCAGACCAAGTGAAAAGTCAAGACACACACCCATCGGAAAATAATCAGATTCTGTATCTCAGACCAAGTGCTTCTGGCTGTATGGAGCAGAAATTCACTTGTGTAGTTCAAAGAAAATAGGGGCTGAGTGGAAGGCACAGAGAGCTCTCCCAGGAATCGGGAAGGTCAAAATGCCCACACCTCGGAAGGGGCCTGCACCTTTCTCATCTTCTCCAAAAAGAAAGTTTTTTCTTTGGTTCTCTACTGCTCCCCGAGCACCTGCCCCTCGTCCCCATCCCTTCCTTCTTCCTCCCTTGCCCTCCTTCCTCCTCTCTTCTCCCCTCTGTCCCCTGGCCCCTTCCCTCCAGTATCTAGGTCTCTCACTTCGAGCTTCCTTAGAAGCTGGGATGTCCTTTCTGTCTGGTTCACACACAGGCAGCTGACTAACCTCAGTTCAACGTTCACGGGACGTGCCCGCCCTCGGTCCCGGGGGCAGCCGGGTAGGCGGTGAGGTGGCTACAGATGCAGTGTACTCACACGGGGCCGTGGTGGAGGAGTGAGGGCGGTGAGAGCAGAGCTGAGGCGGAGAGTGTAGGGGAGGGTGGACCCGGTACTGCACCGGACACAGGCAGCAGAGAGACTCATCATTGGGAGAGAGAATACTTGGGAAAATCAAGAGCTGGCAATGTGTTGGGCACAGTGGAGGGGCAGGTGATACGTCTGCAGGTGGACATGATGACGCCCTGGAGCCTGCCTTGGACTAAAAGTGTCTGTGGAGAGGCCGGGAAGGACCCCCATGGCTGGCTGGAAGGCTGCTTGGCACCATCTGGGACCCTCTTGGGACGAGGCAGTGTGGCGTCACCAAAGAACTCTGGCTTGGAGTCGGGAGCCCTTGTTAGCCTTAGGTCTGCCCAGTTTCTAAAGCTCCATTTCTCACCTATAAAATGAGGATGAATCCTAGCTCCACGGCCACCAGGGAGATCAGATGGCATGCTGGATGTGAAAGGACCTTTTACTTTGTAAAATGTGGCATGGATTTGAAGCTGTGTGGGCCTCAAACCTGAACTCCCCTTTTCCCAGCAGAGGAGAGGAGGCTGCCCAGGAAATGGCTGATCCTGTTTCTGGCTTGTTCCTCAGGGTCTCCACAGAGCTGCGCTACCGAAAACAGCCCTGGGGGTTAGTGAAAACCTTCATCGAGAAGAACTTCTGGAGTGGGCTGGACGACTACTTCCGCCATTTAGGTGGGTGCTGTGTGGGGTGGCCTGCATGCTGTCCCCGCCCAGGGGAGGGACAACTGGAGAATGGTGGGCACACTGAGACAGTGAAGGGGTGTGTGGGGTCCTCAAGTCTGCCCTAGACAGAGGTACAAAATCTGACATGTGTGTGAACATGTGCATTTTTCAAGAGGTGGTACCTGTAACTTTTATGAGATCATGAAGGGATCCTTGACCACCTGTGGAAGAAAATAATGAGCCTCAGATCTAATCACACTGGTGGTGATTCTGTCATGGAAAGGAAATGGCCTGTGAATGCATCCATTAGAAAGTGGGATATGCCCCAAGTCGTGTACATGACATCGGGAACCTATGTCTCTACTCAGTGCTGGTGGACCCAGAGGGTGGCTTTGGGCTGTGTCCTGGCAGTACTTCCTGAGGCTCAGGGTGTCCCTGGGGGGCCCCTCCCTCCCAGGCCGGGTTCCAGAGTACTTGAGAGGGCTCAGCTAGGCGTAGATGGAGTCTCCTCTGGAGGCCAGTGTGTGTGGGGTTGGAGGTTTGGGCGGACGACCTCTCCTGAGGCCTCTGGTCTCTGGCAGAGAGTGAGCTGACCAAAACGGAGAGCAGCTACCTAGCTGAGATGCACAGACAGTCTCCCAAAGAGAAGGCCAGCAAGCCTCCAACGGTGCGGAGGAGGAAACGCCCCCACGCCCACCTGCGGGTGCCTCACCTGGAGGGGGTGATGAGCCCTGTCACCACGCCCACTGATGAAGATGTGGGCCACCGGATCAAGCACGTGGCAGGTGTGTGCCGGGCGGGGTGGCCCGGGGCTGTGGGCTGAAGCTGCAGGCCTGTGCCGCACACGTGCACACTCACTTTGCATGGTGGGTAGAGATTGTGTATTAATATGTGCATAGCTCATTAAATCTGACGCTCCAGATGCTCTGTTTCCCTTTGCCTATGAGTCTCTTAGTCCCTGCTAATCCGTATGTGTGCGCTGCTGAGCAAAAGTTGCCTTTGGGTCTTTGCCTATAGTGGAAGCTCAGACCTCAGAGGTTACCTTATAACACAGAGATCAGGGAACCCATGGCAGCCCCGCCCTGACTTGGCCCTCACCGGCCCACCAGACACCTGCCCTGCCTGCCAGACAGTGGCCTTCTTTGTTGTGTCTCCCTTTTCCCAACTAGCCACTCACTACCCTGTGGCTTTGCTCAGTTATGGAAACATGTAGCTAGAAGACGTCGGCATGCCCCTGCATGGGGGCAGGGGAGGAGGCAGAAGAGGAGTGTGCCAGCCCTCTTGTCACTCCAGGCTTCAACCAGACTCCCATGTTATGTGTTTTACTTAGAGCATTTCTCACTAGCACTGCATTTGAATAAACTGACTCTCAGAGAAGTTACGTGACTTGCTCAGCATCATGCAGCCAGTTAAGGGAAGGCCAGAGTGGAAAGCTGTCTCCAGTCCCAGCCCAGTGCTGTCTCCCTCCACTTTGTCCTGCATCTGTATGTCCCAGCTACAGAGGTCTGTTGACTTTCTCATTTTTCGGTGACTTTAAAGTCCACCCTGCCTGACACAACCTGTGCCCTTGCCCTTGAGGAGCCAGACCTTCTACTTGTGGAGGGCCAGGTCCATCTCGCATACCAGGGCATCAGCACGGGCAGCTCTCTGCCATGCCCTGAAGTTCTGTGCATGACCAGGTCATGTCAGTGCAGGGGGGTGATGGCCTCTCTATTCTCCCCGCAGGTTCCACGCAGACGCGGCACATCCCCGAGGACACCCCCAATGGTTTCCACCTGCAGAGTGTGTCCAAGCTGCTGCTGGTTATCAGCTGTGTGTAAGGCACTCCAGGTTCTTCTTTTCCCCACCCTTTGCAGCCCCTGCCTCCTCCCTGCTGTCTTCAGCCCCTGAGCACCCTGACTGTTGCCCTGGGTTTTTGTGTTTTGTCCTCCCGCCTTCTCTGTCCGGATCACTGCCATCCCTTGCCCCTGCTTCTTGTTCTCTCTTTTATTCAGCATTTACTGTATGCATGCTAGGCCTTCAGGATTAGAAGAAAATGCTGTATGCAGCATCCATGCCCTTCAGGAATTCAGTTTTAAGTGGGGAAGGCCACTACACAGTTTGGTAAATGCTAACACAGATGCTACAGCGCATGCTAGCAGCCCATGCGGTCATCTATGAGTGATGATTTGGGGGTCAGCTCTGTGCCAGGCACAAGGACCGGGCCTCCGCGGGCCCAGGCTTTGGCAGGGTAGTCAGACAAAATCAATGACTGCAGTCCTGGAGGAGTATATGCTTATTTTAATGTAAATGATTTCTAATAATTGCCATAACACTACAAAGGGGTAGGCTCTGTGACTTTCACAGAAAGATGCTGGGCTAGGGAAAAAGGAAGGGAGTTAAAGAAATGGTCTGCCATGGAAGAGAACACAGCCATGTGAAGTGTGAGCCTGTCGGGGCTTCCTTAAGCCACTGTGAGCAGGAGCAGCTCTGGCAAAGTGCAGACAGCTCTAATGCTGGGTTCGGCCCACTGCCCAGCACCCCCTCCAGTCCTTGCGATGGTCCGGTGCTGCGAGAATGTGGGGGCACCAGTGGGGGCCACAGGAGCTGCCCAGATGCGGCTCTCCCAGCTGTACGCCAGCACTAGACTGTCCTGCATTCAGTCCCGCTTCTGTGACAGCCCCACCTCACCCCTTCAGGCTTGTACACCTCCCCTAAAGGATTTTTAGGAAACGCTGAAGGAAGCCCCAGTGACGTGGTTGGATTTGCATTAAAAAATAATAATAACTGACAGCAATATAGCAAATGGACTAGAGAAGAAAGGGCTGGAGGCAGGCAGGCCAGGGAATTGCAGTGATCCAGGTGTGAGTGACTGTTAGACCGAGATGAGGCTCCAGGGCTGGGAGATCCTAGAATCTAAGGACTCGCTAACCATCTGGTTATGCAGTGAAGGAAGATGAACTCCTGATCCGAGTGTCCATAGATGGTTGTATCATTAACCATCTGGAAGTTAGTGAAAAGTCGTCGGTGGGGACCCTGGCAGTTGGAGGTGCATCTGAGCACCTTAGGTAATCCAGGTGGAGGACAGACAGGTCCTGGTGATGCGGACCTGGAGCTCAGGAGACACGTTTAGGTTGCAGGTGCTGGTTTGATTATCAGTATAGAGTGTGAGAAGCAAGGGGCTGAAGACAAGCCCTGGGGGCCTCTGACAGGAGGGAGCCCACGAGGGATGTGCGGAGGACCCTCTCACTGACTGTCCTTGAACACCTAACACAGCAGATGTAAGATTCTTCTGACCTTGACATAAGAAGCCAAGGCACTTCTACAAAATTAAATACGAAGACAACCGTAAAACCAGTAAAATGCACGTTCAGCAGCAGCAATTTAAGGTGATTTGTATTCTTTTAAATCTGCAGTTGGGTTTGGTAAATAGAAAACTCTACCCTCGGGTTAATTCTGTGTTTAAGCTCCTTGTGCATGTTGACTTAAGTAGAAAAGGCCTGTTCACCGTGGCCTTTACTAACATTGGGGCTTCATTAGTTTAGGATCATCAGACCTCGTCATTCAATACTAGGAGGCCCCGGCAGTGAGCCTGCTGGCAGTGTGCACGTGTGGACGGGCACACACAGACTACAGTGTTTGGCAGACCCCAGCTACCCCCTGCAAACCTGCACTGGCAGCCCAGCCCACCCGCCTCTTTTCTCTGTTTAGACTCAGCACACTGCAGAGTCCCTTTGACCTTCACTGAGCACAGGCAGGATTGTAAGCACAGGTGCTTAGATTGTGTGCAGCACACATTCAGATGATCTGTGTGCTCATACCACTAGAGACAGGGGCACTGAATTCAACACAGAGTTCAGAAGTTGTCGCAGAGAACTGAGAGAGCCCCCAGAACACAGGCAGATAGTAGCCCCAGGGATTTGCAGCTGCCAGTTTAAGCAAGACTACATTTCATAGTGCTGGAAGGACAGGTGAGACACACGGTATCACACACATGGCGTGTGCACGCACACACAGAAAGGCTGAAGGCATAATATAAGATTGTCTTCCTTGGTCTTTCTTTCATCTTTTTATCTTTCCATTTTGTTGTCCTTCTTTTTCCCATGCATGTCCCTGTGTGTGCCTGTGCCTCCTGCTGGGCAGGGCCTCCTAGGTGGAGGGCGCTTTGGATACATTCCTTCATTCCAATAAAAAGACCAGCAGAGTGGGAGTTAGACTGTCCCTGTTCAGGAAGCTGGGTTTTGGAGAAGCCAGGAAGCTTCATCAAAAGTTTATAAACTTTAAGAAAGTGAAGAAACAGCCAGGATTTGTACCCAGTTCTGTGTGTCTCTGGATCCTTTTTACTGGGTCTTCTCTCCATTTCATGATCTGTAGCAGCCACTGAGGAGAGAGGAGATTTTTCCCAGTCCCCCCAGCCTCTCTGCTCCCATCCTGGATTGGCCCTGTCACCTCCCTGTCTCCGCTGAGTCCCAGCACGGACTCTGGGAAGCTCTGGGACCCCCCGTGGGGCCTGGAGCACTAGGGCAGTTGTAGCATCTGTAAGGCAGGTGGGGCAGAGCCCAGATCCCATGGGGTCCCTCCCACCGTTTCACCACTTGGTTGTGTCCTGAAGTTGGGTTGATCGGGGGACATAGCATGGTTTTTCATCCTCCTTGACATACTAGGAGTCTGTTGGCAGCTGCTGGCTCTTGCTCCTTCCCTGCGGGGTCCCCTCACCCTGTGTCTTTGCTGGAGTATTTCATTCTCACCGATGCTGGCTTGACTGGAGTGTGGCTCTGCCCTCCCACACCAGGCCTTTCTAACCTCCTCCTCCTCCCCATTTTTTTCCTTGCTCCCATTAGGATCTGTTTCAGGTACTGGCTCTGTCATGGCCTCTTTTACCCCCTCATCTCTCCTCTTACTGCAGACCCCGGGTTCTGGGTCACTTGTGACTTGTGCGTCTCTCCTGCCAGCGCCTTCACCCCCCAACCTCTCCATCACTCTCCTGCTGTGTCTGGGCTGCTCTGCACTAGAGTGCTTCTCTCTGTCTCTCTCCCGGCCCATTGCTGCCCCCACCCCCCACCCCCCAGCCGCCCGCCCCTGCCCC